GAAAAAACAATTGGAAGTAATTTTATTATCTCAATTACGAATTCAATTCAATCTCGCAATTTCAAAAATTTTATTAACAGACATGTTATTATTGTACAGTTAGATTATAGGGTACTTCCCGTTGACTTAGAATCATTAAAATTGACAAGAAGCAACGTCATGTAGCACAAGTATAGTAAAAATTCTAATAAGTATTTTACAAAAACAAATTTAAACTTGATGATTTTGTACGAAACCCTGGTTACGCGAGTCCGACTCGTACTTGACCGGCTTTTTTTATCGTAGGAATTCACAAAAATACTCCGAAATTCCTTTTTTAGGCAACATAGACTAGCTAAACAAGCTGACGGCCCGTCTTATGGAAAGTGGTAATCGTTGCCTGTAAACATGAATAGTGTCAAATACATAACAGAGTGCTCTGTGTCGTCCATGATAGGCTTCATGTGTTACCATTATATATACTTTATTATTATTACTTACATTGTATGTGCTCATTATAGTCATCATGAGATCATGAACAAACCGAGATACTGTCAGTTGGGTTCCATTCAAATATTCAACACACTTTCGTCTATGTAGGCAGATCGCATTGTTTAGTTTACCAACTCCAAGTCTCCAAAATTGAGTTACGAAATCTAAATTTGAATAAAGAAAACAATACTTTTAATAAATTGTCAATTTTCTTTATTTATTTATTCTTTATTTATTATAAAAAAAAGAATGTCTAAATAAATATACATTGTAGAAACATACTACGTTACACTAGTACAAATATACATACATACACGATAATATATTTATTATTATTTATTATATTTAATACCAATAAAGCAACAGTAGAGATCCAAGATAATAATGATGATAAAACGAACTACGCTCACAGCTTCTTCATAAGAGATTTATAGACTTTTTTATCATCTGCATTTATTATTTTATTAGATGGCAATAAGGCAGTTTTGTTGTAAATTGAAATAAATTCGGTCGCACTGAGTAGTCTTTAAAAACATGGTTTGTTTTTGCTAGTCATATTAGAGTGCATGAAATGTGAAAATTTGGACTCCCGGTATTTATTTTTTTGTCAGTAATCTTAATAAAATTTTTAGCAAATAGAAGACAAATATATATTTTAAAATAGAATAGAATATTTAAATATATTTAAGCAATTAAATTTAATAGCTTAAAAGCAAAATCAAGAGGCAACAATGGACGGACTTTTCATAATAATGTTACTTATATAAATATTATTTTATATTCATACCCTTTATTTTGATATTGTTAAGTACTTTTATGTGTGTATGTAAGAGAATTATTTTACGACAAATCGGTTTTCAAAGGTCACATTAAATGAGATGAAATCCAGTGATGAATAATGAATAAATCTCAAGTAATAAACATGAAACAGTAATAAAACAGCAGTCAACGAGACTAGAAGCATTTACATACATATATTTTATCGGTGTCCCATAAAAACGAATCAATAAAACAATCACCACATAATACAGTGGAAAATTCCATTTATTCCCGCTCTGTGTCGTAGCACCGTAGCATCGCTAGGAAATCGAAACCCTAATTTATTTCTTCCATATATTCAAAATGCATATTATCGATTCGTAAATTTTTAAATTCAGAATCGCCGTTCGGAAATGGTCATGACCTTTTTCTTTTGCGCCTTTTTATTTATTTTTTTTAACAACCATTAGGGCCTTGAGCGAAAATCAACTAAACTGATGCTGGCAGGGCGCGTTATGAGGCAGGACGATGAGGCGAGGGAGGGAATATCCCCTTCTATTTTCGGCGCTTGAGTTATAGTCCGACCAAGCATTGAAGACCTTTTACCGAATTTCACGTTTCGTTTTACGAGAGGCTCCTGAGCGCGTCGGTCGGGTAAATAATTCAGGTAGAAAGTTTTTTTCGCTCGTAACGCTTGATGTGGGTTTAAGCTAAGCTTATTAATAATTTGTGCTTATGTAATGGCCTTTATATCAGTAAGAATCGGTATTGACGTCTTCTAATAACTAAAAGTTCAAATCGAAAATTTTTATATTTGATGCGAATAGGGAGATTCAAACTGTAAATTATCTTTTGTCTATTTGTGTCTTCCAGTAGAAATAAACTTCGAAATGGAAATACTGACTTAGTTTTTTTTTTTTATTTTTATTTGATAGCTACATTAATTAAGATGAGGCCGATTTTTAAATAGCATTTCTCTAAATGTATCTTTAATATTTTATTTATTTGCTTAATATTCTTTGTATATTTTTTACGTTTCTAATGCAATAAAGAGTCATTGCATTAGAAACGTAAAAAATATACAACGACAATTAGACAATACAAGTGAAATACAGTAGCCTAGAATACAGGTTTAAATATAAGAGTACAATAGGCAGGCTTATCGCTAAGTCAATCTTTTACAGACAACTTTTAATTAAAGGAGAATAGACCGAATATATTTTTATACGACCGATATATATATATATATATATATATATATATATATATATATATATATATATATATATATATATATATATATATATATATATTACAAATTTATTTCATATTGGCCTTTATAATAAATATATATGATATCAAAATGTAATTTTATTTTTAAAAACAGATTTAGAACAATTGTACCACAGACTCGACCCCATTGACTGATAAAAAAAATATTTAAAATTCGAACAGAAAATTAGTTTTCAAAATAAAAACTAAATTCAGACACTGAATCTAAATTGAATTTAAGCGTCTGAATACTACATTCATTGTGTGAATGTCTGTTAAACATTTCGTATAACGTTTCCAAAGGATCTTGAGCTAAACGAGACGTGTTCCTCAGTGAATCACTCGGGAGTTACGTGCCTCGCATAATCTTGTCAAATGACATAGTGACTACACACAACAGACATTTGTGTCTAATAAACAAAATAATTTAAATGTTATGAGAGAAAACCGCCTTAGTTAATATACCAACTATTTAGAGGGAGATTTTGTACAAAAGTCGATTGCTTGGGCACCTCTGTCTCATTCGTGTTTCTACCGTGAAGTAGTCGTGTTTGCATGACTGTGTTTAGATTTGAAGGGTGGGATATGGCAATGAATTTACTGGGTACAGAGGAATAACATCTTAATCCTCAGGAATGGCAACGCATGGGGGCACAGGATACTCTGTTATGTCGATGGTACTGCTTATGTCTATAGGTGATGGTTACCACTTTCCATCAGGTGGGCCGTAAACTTGCTTGCCATTCTAAGTTGCATAAAAAAATGTATTAAAAACAGTATATAGTAGCTTTACCATACTAAATAGTAAATAGTTTATTTCTTACGTATTAATAGTTTAATGGCTCATCCGATTATTATGAAATTTGGTCCATGTATAGCACTAGACATGGAGCCTTTTATATAATAAATACTGGGACAAAAAGTATCCTATGTCCTGTATCCAGTCCATACAAACAAAGTCTTGAACACAGCTAGTCAATACTAATATTACAAAGAGGAAAGATTTGATTATTTGTTTGTAATCGATAAACTCAAAATTAAATGACCGATTTTAAAAATTCTATTACCTAGAAAAAGCTACATTATCAGTGAGTAATATAGGCTATATATTATATTATTTTCATAAACTCTATCCATCTGTGCGAAGCCGGGTCGGATTGCTAGTATGTTATAAAAAGCAATATAAAGATGGACATAGAAGGGACGGATTTTTATGTACTTTCCCGATTTTTATAATGCTTTGATAATATATTAATTATTTTGATAAGTTTTCATTTATTTTAATTACATATCTATCACGAATTATTAAAGTTCATTGAAACATTCGGCGCAACGGAATACCGATTTCTAATCGTGGTCGACGCGAGAAGTATGTACCTCAAGCACTAGATCTAGACATTGTGGGCTTTCCCTATACCATATGAGACAAATGGCAAATAATCAAGCTATTCACAAAGCGAATTTACTTGCGTATCTAAATATCTATAGAGGGAGCGAGAAGGGAGGTATCAAGACTCGAAACTCCCCTATAGCGGCGCTTCAGAGGGGACCCAGCGAGAATTTTAGGTTAGTGGACATGTAGGCATAAAGAAGGTAACACGGCAAATTTGTTGCCATTTAGTTCGTATCGTGTTGTGATTTTCGTTTGTGCGTCAAGTGCTAGTTCGTCGTATTATTGTATACAAACAAAAATTTAATAAGTGTAGTGTTTGTAGATGTAATTAAGCAATTAATGTTAGTAGAGTTTAATTTAGTCGTAACATAAGTTGTATTACAGTAACATATCGTGCGGGAATACAGTGTGGTTTAATAGAAAAATAAATAAAATAAAAAATAAATGTGAAAGAATAAAGCTGTTTGGTGTGATATCACGGTTTGTTTATAAACAGTGACGCGTGCGTACTGTTCGAACTTGCTGACAGCTCGCCGCGTTTTCACTATAAACAACACCGGACAAGGCAATAACATTAACTGTACTCACGCTTAAAGAGCTAATCAATGCTCAATATTCGATGCTAAAATATTGTGCCAAAGTAATTTTATACTCGAACATAGTATAAGTATATTTTAAGTGGTAGTGTAAAAAGCGCGGGAAAATTTAATCTTGTGCGCGAACGAGATATCGCGGACGAGGTGCATCGGAGATACAGTGCAGTCTTACACGTCACGTGTAGGAAAACAGTGAATAAATCCGCGACACTGGGAAATACACGAGGGTCGGAACTGCCTACTACTGCTACTATAGCGATCGATAATATTACGCATTACAGGGTGACTGTGAGAAGAGACGAGACGCACACACCGGCACGGGCACGCACACACACCCGCCCCCTACCGCCCCATCCCAACCTCTGCCCTCGTAACGAAAATAAACACTCCATGGAGCTTTAAAAACTTAAACCGAATTTATAGTATAAGTAACTAAAGTACAAATAAAAATCACTGTGATTTTATTTTTGTGTTCAGTACAGTACGTAAGTCTGTTAGAGCTGTGATAATTATGCTTGTTGGCACAAATTTGTGTAATATGAACTCCGGGATGTTCTTCGGGTATAGTATGCAGAGTCAGCTGGTGAGTCTAGCGGTTGGGCAGAGACCGGGCTCCTCGCATGGCGGGAGTGCCTCGGGAACGGCGCCCCCGACACCAGTTCACGGTCACACTGAGGGAAAGCGGTCCCCGCAGACGCCCTCGGAGCGCACGGGGGCGCCCCCTGGCGCGGGGAAGGACGCGGTGAAACTATTCATTGGACAGATACCGAGACACCTCGAGGAAGATGACCTACGTCCGATGTTTGAGGAGTTCGGGAAGATTTACGAGCTGACCGTACTTAAGGATAAGCACACTGGAATGCATAAAGGTCGGTTGTGATTTACGTTTACATAGATAATTAATTAACACTACATAGTATAAAACAAAGTGCCTGTCGCTGTCTGTCCGTTCCTATGTATGCTTGAATCTTTAAAACTACGCAACGGATTTTGAAGCGGTTTTTTTTTAATAGAGTGATTCATAAGGAAGGTTTATATGTATAATACATGCATAATATAGTAGAGAAACACTCATAATTTTAGAGTTTTTATATATATATATATATATATATATATATATATATATATATATATATATATATATATATATATATATATATATAGTAAAATGAAGCTTATTTTTAATGAAACAAATCCTATTTCTATATGCACAAAAGAAAAACTACCGACCGCGTAAAAAGGAATGAGGTAACGGACTTTTTGAAATAATGTTTGCTAACAGATTATTTAGTTTTAAAAAATAAATCCGATCAAGTACTAGTTAAACTCATGCGCAAAGGGTTCCGTATCTAAAGTAATTTGTAAATAGGTTTATGTTTTCTTTACGTAAAAATAATTATTGAGTTCTTAAGAGGAGAGCCCGGCAGGCAAATACAGTAAAGCACGATGCCCCAATAGAAGGAGCGATGACCTCAAATGACGACTCAGTGGATGCATGCAACGGGACTGTTTAGGGTAATTTATGGGGGAGGCTTATGTTTTTTTGTTATACAACTTAGAATGGCAAACAAGGTAACGGTCTACCTGATGGAAAGTGGTAACCGTCGCCTATAGACATGAGCAGTACCATGGACATAACAGAGTATACTGTTTCGCCCATGATACCCCCCATGCGTTGCCATTCCTGAGGACTCAGATGTTATTCCTATGTACCCAGTAAATTCACGTCATATCCCACCCTTCAAACCGAAACACAGCCATGCAAACACAGCTGCTTCACGGTTGCAACACGAATGGGACAGAGGTACCCAAGCAATCGACTTTTGTACAAAGCCTTCCTCTGGTCCAGCAGTGGACGGATAATGGCTGAAATGATAATGACGATGGGTGGATACGAATGTCTCCTCAAAGCAACGTACCCATGTACTTAAATAGAAATATTTGCATACAAAAATCGAACCGGCCATATTTGCAAGATAATGCTGTGTGTTAAACCTCTATACTAGTATGCTAGTCAAAATAAATAAAAACTTATAAAAATTAAGAAAAACATGTTAATGACATAATATAATGACATAGTACCCTCAATATAGGGGGGTAGGTGATTGTTAGTAATGGAGACTGAGAATCCCATTGCTAGCAATATACCCAACCAGGTCGACCTCCTCGCGGTTCCCCCTGGAAACTATCATGGTTAATTCCTGATGAATTCATCATGATGGGCTAACTGGCCTGTTTTCATTCTCATCTGTCACCCTTCACTGGTGCTCCGCCAGCGTATTCCGTAGCGTAGGCGGGGTTACCATACCGTTTTCACCCATCAAAAAAAAAGTACCCTCAATATAGTACATATTGTGCGTACAGAAAGATGAATCAAGGGTGACTAGGCATTATGTCAAGTCTCTAATACTGATGTAAGACCTATTCACGTAAACAGAATGGGACGTCACAAGGACGTAATATCTACAAGAACAGTGACGGTATTTATTATTAAGGGCGTTCAGAACTTTAGGTTATCAAAATATGGCAACGTTGCTGTTATTTGCAAAAAAAATTGATATATAATAGCTGTTTTTCACTTATAAGTACCAAGTACTAATAACTTAGATGATTTTAGAAAGCTGAATAGGCATTATGTCAAGTCTCTATACTGATATAAGACCTATTCACATAAACAGGATGTGACGTCACAGGGACGTAATGTCGTATGTACAAGACCAGCGACGATATTTATTGTTACGAGCGTTCAGAACTTTAGCTTATCGCAGTGTGGCAACGTCGAATTACTTGTCAATTTCCAAAAATAATTTGAAATTTTTCAATTATTGATTGATTGATTTAATTATTTATTTATTTTTTCGTGCAACTTAGAATGGCAATGGCTGCTTATCTAATGGAAAGTGGTAACCGTCGCCTATAGACATGAACAGTATCATGGACATAACAAAGTATACTGTTTCGCCCATGGTACCCATCATCCGTTGCCATTCTCGAGGATTAAGGTGTTATGCCTCTGTACCCTGTAATTTTATTGCTATATTCTACCCTCCAAACCGAAATACATACAAATACAACAGCTTCACGGCAGAAACACGAATGGGACAAAGGTACCCAAGCAGACGACCTTTGTACGGTCTCCCTCTGCTAGTAAATTGATATGTTAATCATAGAATATACTGCATATAAATCAACCATTAAAAACTTTGCACCTACTTCATATTTTGCTTCGGAAGTTTAAATATACTTTTTTTGCCATCAAAATTCAATTTTTCAGCGACATCTATATATTAATGTGTGAAGCAAAAGCTTTTACCCTTTTTTTACGGAGAATTTTAAAATTTTACGGAGAGAAATTTGGTATACTTATAGTTCATATAGTTAAGGAGTGTAGAATGCTAATATTTTTTTTTAAATTATGCATAAAAAATACATTACGTCAATAAAAACATTACGCACACTACCATGTATTTGACACACACACACATACACATATATATTCTTTCGTTTATTATTAAATTGAGAATAGATTAATATTGTTTGTCTTTAATATTATTTGTCTATAGTCTACCTGAATGTCAAACATAACTAAAATAATTTATTTATTACAATATATGTTATGGTCGAATTTCGACCACGGAGCGACCACTAATAAATTAAAAATATATCATTTAGTTTTTTCGCAAAGAAGTTTTAAATAATCAATTATAAACATTGAAAAATTATCAATTGTTTAAAACGAAAATCACAGATAATAGCTAACTTCAGCTTGTTTCTTATTAAAAGTTGCAAAAAAATAATTTAAATATAAATAAATAGTAGAAATAAACGAATAGATGCTTCAAATATAGTTTGTTAAAGATAATGTACATATAAAAAAGTATAGATTAATTGAAAACCTCCTTTTCCAAAGTCGATAAAAATATTATTAAGATTCAATACAAAAAGAAAATTCCATTCGACGTTACAAGTAATAGCACCATACAAATAAAACACTAACAAATCAACCCGCCGTTATCGCAATCAGAGCAACAGTAAATACATTAGTCACGATATAAAAAAATTACGTTTCGGTATAAATTGTGAAAAAAACATTATACATTTTATAGCGTGCGTCGGCACACGTGAACCGTGACTTAAGAAAAATGCCACCTATGTTCAGATTGCGTTGTAATTCTTAACCTGTGTTGTGATGCAAATGCGTGTAAATTGCATATTATTTTTATGCGATTTTAAACTGTACCAAGGAGAAGGAGTCTATAATTACCATTTAGCTATTATTTATACATAACGAGAATGAAATCATTAGCATTTAATTAATTTATTTATTTATTTACAGAAAAAACTTTTACCAATTACAATTTATAAGGCAAATCCTAATTTAAAACTTTAGTTTCTTATATAATCGCAAATATAAACAGAAGCACTACTCAAAACTTAACTTTTAAATATATTTGTACATAAATATATGTATGGTATAGAATATGGTAGGTCACGGTGATGGCAAGAAAACGAAGATTCTTACAATTGGATTTTATTTTTGATTTTATTTTCGTTAATTATAGGTAATAAATAGACGTGTGGTGTCGATCGTATCTAGGTGCAGACTAGGCGTGGCGTCCGTTGCGCCGATTATAAGTTTAAAAACGACCGCATGCAGAGACAATGACATAGACAAACTATTTTATTTATAATTGAGTTTTGAGGCACAGAATGCGTCGCTTACAATGGCCATGTGACATAGAATGGGCTACCCCTTTCTTTCCCGTGGGTAAGAGGCGACTAAGAGAGGGCGAGCGATGGGCAGCAGCGTCCTTCTTAAAACATCTCCAAAGCATAACTGCGTTTACCAATCTGCCGATTAAATATGGCAACTACTAGTAAAACCCCCCAAGAGGAAGGCTTATCTTCAGCAGTGAACAGTTAAAATACTTATTTGCCAAAAGCAAATTTGAAATTGGTGCAAAGTTTTAGTTGTAGATAAATATGCAACGTAATCCATGATTAAATTTTTAATTCTTAGAGCGCTTGTTAAATAATCAATCAGAGACATGGTAAGTTATAGAACTTTGATATGAACGCTTTTATGTGACTGTTCTACCAATTAAATCAAATACCAACGGCACATAAGTCAAAATATATTCTTCACATAAGAAAGCAAACTTCAAACATATGACACTAGAGGGCACTTTTACGTTTTATTTCTTATAGATCTTTAGGTTAACAACCGGAATATACTCTCTTGAAGAACTAAAAAAAAATTAATGTTGCGTGCAAAATAATTTCAAAAATGCATACCTCTGCTCGATAAATCACGAAATCACCCATAAAACAAGGTACGCCGCGGCCAAAGGCTAGTAATGTATAAAAAGACGAATATTACTACGCTTTGGACCGTCAAGCCCTATCATAACTTCCGAACCGTTTGTCGGAGACACATAAAATTTATTTCTTGTAAAGCAACACAAGGGTTGGAGAAAAAAAAATATTTTTCGACATTCCCTCACACTTATACGTATTCGTATATCTTGCCGTATTTCTGGACTGAGATACGTTATAATATCCTTTTATGATTATTTGCCCCTTTTTTTTAAGAAAAATGAAACACTTAGATGAGGAGTATGCATTATTGTTATTAATTATTAAAACTAACACTATTATGAGTACAATGAAACAATTTAATCATTATGCTTGCCTAATACAGTCTAGTGATCGCAAACTTACGAGTCGAGTTTAAAAAATCTGTAGCAATATTTTTGATACTTTTTAATTAATTGTTATTTAAAGATAAACTAAGGATTATTCACCATATTGTCACAGTTTGGTTACGTATACATATTCCGCGATACGTCTGTTCTGGCACATCGCTTCC